CCTGTGATATGTAAGTCAACTGTGATGTATTATTTACCTGTGATGTATTAGTGACCTGTGATATGTAAGTCAACTGTGATGTATTAGGTACTTGTGATGTATTAGTTACCTGTTATATCTAAGTCAACTGTGATGTATTAGGTACTTGTGATGTATTAGTTACCTGTGATATGTAAGTTAACTGTGATGTATTAGGTACCTGTGATGTATTAAGTACCTGTCATATGTAAGTTAACTGTGATGTATATAAGTTAACTGTGCTGTATTAGGTACCTGTGATGGATTAGTGACCTGTGATATGTAAGTCAACTGTGATGTATTAGTTACCTGTGATGTATTAGTGACCTGTGATATGTAAGTCAACTGTGATGTATTAGGTACTTGTGATGTATTAGTTACCTGTGATATCTAAGTTAACTGTGATGTATTAGTTACCTGTGATATCTAAGTTAACTGTGATACATATAAGTTAACTGTGATGTATTAGGTACCTGTGATATCTAAGTTAACTGTGATGTATTAGTTACCTGTGATGTATAAGTGACCTGTGATATGTAAGTCAACTGTGATGTATTAGGTACTTGTGATGTATTAGTTACCTGTGATATCTAAGTTAACTGTGATGTATTAGGTACCTGTGATGTATTAGTTAACTGTGATATTTAGTTACTTGTGATGTATTAGGTACCTGTGATATGTAAGTTAACTGTGATATTTAGTTACTTGTGATGTATTAGTTACCTGTGATATCTAAGTCAACTGTGATGTATTAGGTACCTGTGATGTATTAGGTACATGTGATATGTAAGTTAACTGTGATATTTAGTTACTTGTGATGTATTAGTTACCTGTGATATGTAAGTTAACTGTGATATTTAGTTACTTGTGATGTATTAGGTACCTGTGATATGTAAGTTAACTGTGATATTTAGTTACTTGTGATGTATTAGGTACCTGTGATATGTAAGTTAACTGTGATATTTAGTTACTTGTGATGTATTAGGTACCTGTGATATGTAAGTTAACTGTGATATTTAGTTACTTGTGATGTATTAGGTACCTGTGATATGTAAGTTAACTGTGATATTTAGTTACTTGTGATGTATTAGGTACCTGTGATATGTAAGTTAACTGTGATATTTAGTTACTTGTGATGTATTAGGTACCTGTGATATGTAAGTTAACTGTGATATTTAGTTACTTGTGATGTATTAGGTACCTGTGATATGTAAGTTAACTGTGATATTTAGTTACTTGTGATGTATTAGGTACCTGTGATATGTAAGTTAACTGTGATATTTAGTTACTTGTGATGTATTAGGTACCTGTGATATGTAAGTTAACTGTGATATTTAGTTACTTGTGATGTATTAGGTACCTGTGATATGTAAGTTAACTGTGATATTTAGTTACTTGTGATGTATTAGGTACCTGTGATATGTAAGTTAACTGTGATATTTAGTTACTTGTGATGTATTAGGTACCTGTGATATGTAAGTTAACTGTGATATTTAGTTACTTGTGATGTATTAGGTACCTGTGATATGTAAGTTAACTGTGATATTTAGTTACTTGTGATGTATTAGGTACCTGTGATATGTAAGTTAACTGTGATATTTAGTTACTTGTGATGTATTAGGTACCTGTGATATGTAAGTTAACTGTGATATTTAGTTACTTGTGATGTATTAGGTACCTGTGATATGTAAGTTAACTGTGATATTTAGTTACTTGTGATGTATTAGGTACCTGTGATATGTAAGTTAACTGTGATATTTAGTTACTTGTGATGTATTAGGTACCTGTGATATGTAAGTTAACTGTGATATTTAGTTACTTGTGATGTATTAGGTACCTGTGATATGTAAGTTAACTGTGATATTTAGTTACTTGTGATGTATTAGGTACCTGTGATATGTAAGTTAACTGTGATATTTAGTTACTTGTGATGTATTAGGTACCTGTGATATGTAAGTTAACTGTGATATTTAGTTACTTGTGATGTATTAGGTACCTGTGATATGTAAGTTAACTGTGATATTTAGTTACTTGTGATGTATTAGGTACCTGTGATATGTAAGTTAACTGTGATATTTAGTTACTTGTGATGTATTAGGTACCTGTGATATGTAAGTTAACTGTGATATTTAGTTACTTGTGATGTATTAGGTACCTGTGATATGTAAGTTAACTGTGATATTTAGTTACTTGTGATGTATTAGGTACCTGTGATATGTAAGTTAACTGTGATATTTAGTTACTTGTGATGTATTAGGTACCTGTGATATGTAAGTTAACTGTGATATTTAGTTACTTGTGATGTATTAGGTACCTGTGATATGTAAGTTAACTGTGATATTTAGTTACTTGTGATGTATTAGGTACCTGTGATATGTAAGTTAACTGTGATATTTAGTTACTTGTGATGTATTAGGTACCTGTGATATGTAAGTTAACTGTGATATTTAGTTACTTGTGATGTATTAGGTACCTGTGATATGTAAGTTAACTGTGATATTTAGTTACTTGTGATGTATTAGGTACCTGTGATATGTAAGTTAACTGTGATATTTAGTTACTTGTGATGTATTAGGTACCTGTGATATGTAAGTTAACTGTGATATTTAGTTACTTGTGATGTATTAGGTACCTGTGATATGTAAGTTAACTGTGATATTTAGTTACTTGTGATGTATTAGGTACCTGTGATATGTAAGTTAACTGTGATATTTAGTTACTTGTGATGTATTAGGTACCTGTGATATGTAAGTTAACTGTGATATTTAGTTACTTGTGATGTATTAGGTACCTGTGATATGTAAGTTAACTGTGATATTTAGTTACTTGTGATGTATTAGGTACCTGTGATATGTAAGTTAACTGTGATATTTAGTTACTTGTGATGTATTAGGTACCTGTGATATGTAAGTTAACTGTGATATTTAGTTACTTGTGATGTATTAGGTACCTGTGATATGTAAGTTAACTGTGATATTTAGTTACTTGTGATGTATTAGGTACCTGTGATATGTAAGTTAACTGTGATATTTAGTTACTTGTGATGTATTAGGTACCTGTGATATGTAAGTTAACTGTGATATTTAGTTACTTGTGATGTATTAGGTACCTGTGATATGTAAGTTAACTGTGATATTTAGTTACTTGTGATGTATTAGGTACCTGTGATATGTAAGTTAACTGTGATATTTAGTTACTTGTGATGTATTAGGTACCTGTGATATGTAAGTTAACTGTGATATTTAGTTACTTGTGATGTATTAGGTACCTGTGATATGTAAGTTAACTGTGATATTTAGTTACTTGTGATGTATTAGGTACCTGTGATATGTAAGTTAACTGTGATATTTAGTTACTTGTGATGTATTAGGTACCTGTGATATGTAAGTTAACTGTGATATTTAGTTACTTGTGATGTATTAGGTACCTGTGATATGTAAGTTAACTGTGATATTTAGTTACTTGTGATGTATTAGGTACCTGTGATATGTAAGTTAACTGTGATATTTAGTTACTTGTGATGTATTAGGTACCTGTGATATGTAAGTTAACTGTGATATTTAGTTACTTGTGATGTATTAGGTACCTGTGATATGTAAGTTAACTGTGATATTTAGTTACTTGTGATGTATTAGGTACCTGTGATATGTAAGTTAACTGTGATATTTAGTTACTTGTGATGTATTAGGTACCTGTGATATGTAAGTTAACTGTGATATTTAGTTACTTGTGATGTATTAGGTACCTGTGATATGTAAGTTAACTGTGATATTTAGTTACTTGTGATGTATTAGGTACCTGTGATATGTAAGTTAACTGTGATATTTAGTTACTTGTGATGTATTAGGTACCTGTGATATGTAAGTTAACTGTGATATTTAGTTACTTGTGATGTATTAGGTACCTGTGATATGTAAGTTAACTGTGATATTTAGTTACTTGTGATGTATTAGGTACCTGTGATATGTAAGTTAACTGTGATATTTAGTTACTTGTGATGTATTAGGTACCTGTGATATGTAAGTTAACTGTGATATTTAGTTACTTGTGATGTATTAGGTACCTGTGATATGTAAGTTAACTGTGATATTTAGTTACTTGTGATGTATTAGGTACCTGTGATATGTAAGTTAACTGTGATATTTAGTTACTTGTGATGTATTAGGTACCTGTGATATGTAAGTTAACTGTGATATTTAGTTACTTGTGATGTATTAGGTACCTGTGATATGTAAGTTAACTGTGATATTTAGTTACTTGTGATGTATTAGGTACCTGTGATATGTAAGTTAACTGTGATATTTAGTTACTTGTGATGTATTAGGTACCTGTGATATGTAAGTTAACTGTGATATTTAGTTACTTGTGATGTATTAGGTACCTGTGATATGTAAGTTAACTGTGATATTTAGTTACTTGTGATGTATTAGGTACCTGTGATATGTAAGTTAACTGTGATATTTAGTTACTTGTGATGTATTAGGTACCTGTGATATGTAAGTTAACTGTGATATTTAGTTACTTGTGATGTATTAGGTACCTGTGATATGTAAGTTAACTGTGATATTTAGTTACTTGTGATGTATTAGGTACCTGTGATATGTAAGTTAACTGTGATATTTAGTTACTTGTGATGTATTAGGTACCTGTGATATGTAAGTTAACTGTGATATTTAGTTACTTGTGATGTATTAGGTACCTGTGATATGTAAGTTAACTGTGATATTTAGTTACTTGTGATGTATTAGGTACCTGTGATATGTAAGTTAACTGTGATATTTAGTTACTTGTGATGTATTAGGTACCTGTGATATGTAAGTTAACTGTGATATTTAGTTACTTGTGATGTATTAGGTACCTGTGATATGTAAGTTAACTGTGATATTTAGTTACTTGTGATGTATTAGGTACCTGTGATATGTAAGTTAACTGTGATATTTAGTTACTTGTGATGTATACGCTACCTTTGATATATAAGTTACCTGTGTGGAATATCGTGAAGATGAAATCGAAACCGTTATCATTATACCATGAGTCGCTCTTGAAAAATACAGTCATACTGGAACCGGTTGTGACGTAGTCACCCTTCGGCCTTTCATCCCCACACATTTTCCTTGGCAATCCTGCATTGATAATGGAAAAGATTATAGACACGTGTATTTGTCTTATACCGTATGATGATAATTAATCCGACATTTCAGGAAATCAAATGTAACAGAAGATGGTTTCAAAGAAATATGTTGTAGGGTTTGCTTCTCCAAATCTGTATGAGCTATCTCGAGGAATTTCGAGCACATTTTTTTCGAAAACATTATTCTCTGGGTAGAGCTTTATATCTACGCGCATGCATGTGATGTGTCTGGGTGAAAACATGGCGGCGAGAGTAGATCGCCTGTAAGACCGGCAGAGATGAAATGGCATGCATACCTCCGAGAAGACACGTACTCAGCTTGCTTTGTGCTTAAAATGAAAGTGCAGAACCAAGGGCTGTAAGTAGTATGAAAGTTTGGACTTTTGGAATGTGTTTATGGGCCGAAAACGGAATATTAACAGGCGAAGGTCTGACGGTGCGGGCCACTCACCCGTGACCACTATTAGTGACACGCATACAGGTACAACCAGCACGCGCAGCCCAAGTGAATGTCAGACTGTATTAAGTGATGTTTTAGCAAGTGCACACAGAGAGTTATATTGTCACCACATAAACACTATGTCACAGCCTCAACCGCAAGTTCCATCGGAAATGTTTTACACTTCAGGGGTACAAGGAACATGTAATATTGCCTCGTCCCCACCCCCCTACCCGCCCCAGTCGTCACCTCGGCTTGACATGGTTATCCACGATATTTACAACAGACTCGCCAAACTGGACGTCTTGGATCAAATTAATATTAAACTGAATACAATGGACGAAAAATTGTGTAGCATGGATAAATCTATCGTTGATATCAAACGCGAGCTGACTATCCATTCGGAACGTATAGAGAATAGTGACTTTCACTACTCCTTGTTGGAGGAACGTCTCTCCAAAGTTGAGCAACAACGTGATGAGGCCCAGCAACAGACATACGAGGTCAAGGAAATGCTGCTCGAGGACCAGACACGATCCATGAAAATCAACTTGTTGTTTGGGGGCATTCCAGAGACGGAGACTGGCACGGAAACTCACCCTAAAGATACCGAAGCAGTACTTCATGATTTCATAAAGAATGAGCTTGGAATAGAGGATGATATACCGTTCCAAGTGGTGCACCGACTCCGTCCACGACATGATGGCAGGCCACGCTCGATCGTGGCGGTATTTAGTAATAGGAAAGATAAGGACAGAGTATTATCAGCGGCTCCCACTAAATTACACTCCAAACCGATGTATCACGTCAATGAACAGTTCCCATATGAAATCAATGAAAGACGTAAAATACTCTATCCTGTCATGAAAGAGGCGAAAAGAAAGAACCAAGCGGTAAGAATGAGAGCTGATAAACTCTTCATTAACGGCCAGCGCTACTTCCCACCACCACCCGGACCGACATCACACCAACCACTGCCTAGCCATGGGGTTCGTGTTCAGCAGCAGAATCCGAACAACCCAGTCAGACCCAATCCCCCCGGAACCAATGCAGGTGGATACCGCTAGGGGTGCGCAACAAGAGGTCCCCCCTATGAACATTCTCGTGAGAAAAAAACCCTTAAGTTTTCTGTACTTAACGTCTGTGGACTTAAGTCCAAATTGATATTACTTGAATTTATAGAAACCATTAAATCCAATGATATACTAGTTGTGCTCGAGAGTAAAACTGATAAATATGACGCACTGGAATTGCCCATTGGTTATACATATCATGCTAAACATCGAAAATCTTGTAAAAAGAAATCAGGCGGTATTGTTGTAATTTATAAAGAGAAAATGAAAAGTCATTTAAAATTTCATTGTACAGAAACTGAATATATCCAGTGGATGACAGTTTCAAAAAAACTACTGGATACAGATTCTGATGCATTATTTGGATGTGTATACTTGCCTCCAGAAAATTCAAAATACATTAATAATGATGCATTTAATGATATTGAAAATGAATTACTAGACTTGTCAAACGGACACAAATATGTTGCACTAATGGGTGATTTTAATGCGAGAACTAAAGTCCTACCAGACTATGTTATTCCTGATCAAACTTTTCTTGAATCACTGCATATTACTGTAAATGATGAATTATACGCATACATGTATGACTTTGAAAAATTACCTGTATATCAAATTCCTTTGGATCGATATAGTGAAGATAAATGTAACCCGAATAACTTCGGGTATCAACTTCTAGATCTATGTAAAAGAACTAATTTATACATTGCTAATGGAAGAGTTGGAAAAGATCGTCATATTGGTAAAAAAACATGTAACGATGTCAGTTTAGTAGATTATTTGATTGTCTCATCAGAATTATTTAATATTATTGAAGATTTTGAAGTGAAAGAATTTGATCCACTGCTCTCTGATGTACATTGTCGCTTAGAATTTAATTGCACTTGTAATGATAGCTACTCCCCTAAATATCCCCCTAAAGTGACCATGGAATGCAACGATTTTGTAAAATGGAAGCCAAACAAAAGGCAAGAATTTTCAAACCATATTGAAGGAAATGAAACTGTTAGACTGGCAGTTTTACTGCAAACGATAAATGATATATCAAACCAATCTGAGATGGATGATGTTGTACATGAAATAAGAAATATTTTCTCTGATACTTGTAAATCCGTTTTTGGTGTTAAAAAGAATGTATACACGCCTTGTAATAATGACAAAAACACTAAACAATGGTTTTCACATGAATGTGCCAAGAAAAGACGCGAGTTTAATATCGCTAAGCATAACTATAAAATGATAAAAAATAATTTGAATAGGAAAAGGTTGAAAAGGAAAGGTAAAGAATATCGTATTACTATGAAAAAATGTTATATAAACTTCCAAGATAAAATGGAGGGAGAAATAAGAAAAACCTCAAAAAGTGATCCTAAAAAGTTTTGGGATATCTTGAACAAAATAGATTGTACGAGGAAAAATATCAAAGTAGATAAAAAAATAGATGAAATTTTCAATTATTTTAAAAATCTTAATACTGATAACAGTGATGTGGAAGAATTTCAGTTACCTACATTAGATGAAAATATGTATGACCATGTTTTAAATGGTCCAATAACTGAGACAGAGATAAGGAAATCTGTTAAACATCTTAGTAATAATAAAGCATGTGGAAACGATGAGATCCTGAATGAACATATAAAATATTCTTTAGAGCCTTTTATAAATATATATGTCAAATTATTTAATACAATATTAGATACTGGTATAATACCTAAGTCATGGACTGTGGGGCTAATTAAACCAATATACAAAAACAAGGGCGACATTAATGACCTTGACAACTATAGAGCAATAACTTTAGTATCGTGTTTGGGAAAACTTTTTACATCTATACTAAATGATAGATTGAATCAATTATCTGATCAAATAAATCTTATTCATGGAAGCCAAGCTGGCTTTAGGAAAGGTTATTCTACTACAGAAAATATATTTGTAATGCAAACACTAATATCAATGTATTTCTCCTATAATAAAAAGTTATATTGTTCATTCATTGACTTTAAAAAAGCCTTTGATACAGTGTGGAGGGTTGGACTTTGGGAAAAAATGCTGAGAAGCAATATCAATGGCAAAATACTAAATGTAATCTATAACTTATATACTGATACTAAGTCATGTGTAAAAAATGGAAACGAGCAGACTCAGTTCTTCACGAGCAATATCGGTTTAAAACAAGGGGAAAATTTATCGCCATTTTTATTTTCGATCTACTTGAATGATCTAGAGGAGTTCCTGTCTAATAATGAGGTGAAATGTCTCAAAGATATTGATAATCTTAGTCAAAATTGTATTGGAATGTACCTAAAATTGTTTATTTTGTTATATGCGGATGACACTGTTGTACTGGCAGAATCGCCCGAGGGTCTACAGAAAGCTTTAGATGTCTTCGGCGATTATTGTAAAATATGGAAATTACATGTTAATACAAATAAATCTAAAATAGTTGTCTTTTCAAAACGAAAATCGAAAATCAATAGTACATTTATGCTTTGCGGAGAGGAAATTGAAATTGTAGATTCTTATCCGTACCTTGGGTTATTGTTTAACTATACTGGAAACTTTGGTAAGGCGAAAAAGAAACTAGCTGAACAAGCCCAGAAAGCATTATTTGCTTTATATAGGAAAATCAGAAATATCAATTTACCAGTAGACCTACAGTTTGAACTTTTTGATACATTAATATTGCCTATACTGTTATACGCGTCAGAGATATGGGGATTCGAAAATATTACCCTCTTGGAAACGATACATTTGAAATTTATAAAAAAAGTTCTCAATTTAAGGAAATCTACGCCTAATTATATGGTATATGGAGAATCGGGACGTTTTCCTTTAGAAAATACTATTAAAAATAGAATGATTTTATTTTGGCACAAACTAATAACAGAAAATGGTAAAGTATCGAGTCAGTTATATAATATTATACATGCAATGCACGAAACGGGCGCATTTCACTCGAAGTGGCTAAATTTTATCAAAACTACACTAAATGATCTAGGGTTGACATATATCTGGACATCTCAAAAAGTGACTACTCTAGAACGACAAAAACTTAAACATATTATAACACAAACGCTTAATGACCAGTTTATTCAAAAGTGGTATGCCGATATCGAAAAAAGTAGTAGAGGACAAAATTATCTATTATTTAAATCTAATTTTGGTTTTGAAAATTACTTAACTCAATTAAACAAGAGGGATCGTGTTGTGTTTTGCAAATTTCGCTCGTCAAACTTTCCGCTGCCCCTGGAAACTGGCCGTTGGATGGGAATTCCTCGAGAGGAAAGAGAATGTACTTTTTGTAATAGAAATGAAACAGGAGATGAATTTCATTATTTGTTTAAATGTCAACAAGAATCCATACGCCAGATTAGGGAAAAATTTATTCCAAAATATTATTACACCAATCCAAATGTTGATAAAATGAAAGGAATGTTCACAATATGTAACAAACAATTAATCAAAAGGGTTAGTACATTTCTTGTAAAACTGCAAATAATTATAAAAAAATAACAATTGAAATAAATCAGTATGTCAAAAATACTATACTTTGCATTATGATTATGGCAGTGAAGATAATTTGCTGTGAAAATTGAGTATCCAATACATATATGACTAATGCTGATAAATCTGGTCATATATATTCTTCTGTGTCACATGCATGAACTAATGCGGAATCTGTTCATGTGTAATCTACTCTCACTCGTGTGAACTAATGCTGAATCTGTTCACATGTAATCTACATGTGTGAAATAATGCTAAATCTGTCCTTGTATAATACTACTGTTTCACATGTATGAAATGAGGATGTGTAATCTTACTGTTTCACATGTATGAAATAATTATGTGTAAACTTACTGTTTCACATGTAAGAAAATAATGTTGAATCTGTCAAGTATAACCTTACTGTTACTTTGTAACAATACATCTGATACATATGTACATCAAACAATGTGAAATATTGCTGAATCTATCTATGAAATATTGCTGAATCTATCTAAGAAATATTGCTGAATCTATCTATGAAATATTGCTGAATCTGTCTATGAAATAATGCTGAATCTGTCTATGAAATAATGCTTAATCTGTCCATGTGTAATCTACTCTCTCGGTCATGTTTTATTTTGATTGATGTTATTTTGTTTGACCTCTTGTTACACACTTTGTGTGTCAGAGCGTAATAAAAAAAAAATCTTGAAAAATCTTGAAAGTCACCTTGACTTACGAATAGCTTTACCTGGTATTGTCGGGGCTGACGTTGTGTTCCCGTCATGTATTTGAAGGTAATCATCGTCACAGAAAGGCTCATACTCGACATCGAGGCGGCGGAAGACAACCACGAAGCGGTGAGAATCGGCTGTACGTATAGTGACGGTACAACTCATGTTTGGTTTGTATTTTGAAGTCCGCGTGGGACGGAGTCGTCCGGCTTGTTTCCCAAATACGTCCACGTGGACAGTCTCCCCACACTTCTCTTCCATGTACAGCGAAACTGTAACAGAAAAGAAGAAATCCGTGAAATTTCACCCTTGAGTGAAATCCCCAGTGGTTCTCTTATCATGGTATCATATCGGCTATGAGTTCCAGTGTTGTAATCGTCTGTTGACGTAGCGGTACATTGTCTGCCTAAAATTATGAAGTTGAGAAAAATATCCAGGTTGAAATATGACAAAGGGACTATTGGAAATAAAAAGATACTATGACTAATAATCAAGACAGATATGGCAGTCATAACGAAAGAGTTGGATAGAAGAATTTAACCCTACTGGAGCAACATACATGGTTCTTATCAACACAAAACGTCATATCAAGTCAAGAAAACACTTAGAAGCAGTAACAACGCCAAGGACAAACACGTCACAGATTACAGCAACAACAAAATACAGGATCATTCCGTTTAAGAATCACGCCGGTTTAAAACAAAGGAGGGGGGCAATCAAGGAGGGACATTGATGAAAGATTAAGTATGAATTAAAGAGTTTTACGAAAGAAAGTGAAGTAACAGTATTACTCTTTCTTTTCTGCTGAATATAATGCAACTCTACTGACAGTGTAAACAATGTAATATTATAGACAATAATGTAACAGTAATGACAGTGTAAATAAGGTAATATTATAGACAATACTGTAACAGTAATGACAACGTAAACAATGTAATATTATAGACAATAATGTAACAGTAATGACAGTGTAAACAATGTAATATTATAGACATTACTGTAACAGTAATGACAGTGTAAACAATGTAATATTATAGACAATATTGTAACTGTACTGACAGTGTAAACGATGTAATATTATAGACAATATTGTAACAGTAATGACAGTGTAAACAATGTAATATTATAGACAATATTGTAACAGTAATGACAGTGTAAACAATGTAATATTATAGACAATTATGTAACAGTAATGACAGTGTAAACAATGTAATATTATAGACAATTATGTAACAGTAATGACAGTGTAAACAATGTAATATTATAGACAATATTGTAACAGTAATGACAGTGTAAACAATGTAATATTATAGACAATATTGTAACAGTAATGACAGTGTAAACAATGTAATATTATAGACAATATTGTAACAGTACTGACAGTGTAAACAATGTAATATTATAGACAATAATGTAACAGTACTTACAGTGTAAACAATGTAATATTATAGACAATATTGTTACAGTACTGACAGTGTAAACAATGTTATGTTATAGACAATATTGTAACAGTAATGACAGTGTAAACAATGTAATATTATAGACAATACTGTAACAGTAATGACAGTGTAAACAACGTAATATTGTAGACAATATTGTAATAGTAATGACAGTGTAAACAATGTAATATTATAGACAATATTGTAATAGTAATGACAGCGTATATCTGAATATATTAAAAATTCAACAGTATAAACAATAGGAATGACACACAGTATCCACACAGCCAACAATATAAACACTTTTAAAAAGTAACAATGTAAACATGATTAGGAATTTAACAGTATACCCAATTAGAAATAAATTGTTTACAATATAGCATTATCATAAATGTGTTACAATTAATGTTACAGTCTGTCATGCTCAGTGCACTATATCACAACATTACATATAAAGTGTAATATACTATAACATTACATATAAAGTGTAATATACTATAACATTACATATATAGTGTTATATACTATAACATCCCATACAAAGTGTAATATACTATAACATTACATATATAGTGTAATATACTATAACATTACATATAAAGTGTAATATACTATAACATTACACATATAGTGTAATATACTATAACATCCCATATAAAGTGTAATATACTACAACATTACATATATAGTGTAATATATTATAACATTACATATATAGTGTAATATACTATAACATTACATACATAGTGTAATATACTATAACATTACATATAAAGTGTAATTTACTATAACATTACATATGTAGTGTAATATACTATAACATTTCATTTCAACAAATTTTATTGACAAAGTTGATACAAGTCAATTGGATGGAATAACAGGCAAAGCCTCTATAAATTATCTCCAGCGGTGGCTAAATGAACGGATTCTATTATTTTTATTTGATTTAATTAATACATCAATTTTGAAATGAAAATTATAAAAAAAAAAATTATTAAAGGGATGTAACTCCTTCTTAATTAACATAACTGAAATACAAATACATTCACGCTTCTCACATCACACACAAAACACTTCCACAGGTATTATTTATTTTTATAACATTTTACAATTGTATATGAGCTATATAGCTATCAAATCACATAGATATTGGCAGACATTGACCAAAAGTCCATGTGCAAATATATGCACAGGTCACAGTCGCCAAAACTGTTAAGCTCTTATAGTTTTATATGAAAATATAAAGCTAGTCTATGTGTAATTCAATGTATAAGATGGAAACTGTAAAACAAGACAGATTGAACAAATCTTACAACATATCTTATACTATAACATTACATATAATGTAATAAACTATAACATTACATATATAGTGTTACATACTATAACATTACATATAAAGTGTAATATACTATAACATTACATATATAGTGTTATATACTATAACATTACATATAAAGTGTAATATACTATTACATTACATATATAGTGTAATATACTATAACATTACATATATAGTGTAACATACTATAACATTACATATATAGTGTTATATACTATAACATTACATATATAGTGTAATATACTATAACATTACATATACAGTGTAATATACTATAACATCCCATATAAAGTGTAATATACTACAACATTACATATATAGTGTAATATACTATAACATTACATATATAGTGTAACATACTATAACATTACATATATAGTGTAATATACTATAACATTACATATATAGTGTAATATACTATAACATTACATATACAGTGTAATATACTATAACATCCCATATAAAGTGTAATATACTACAACATTACATATATAGTGTAATATACTATAACATTACATATATAGTGTAATATACTATAACATTACATATATAGTGTAATATACTATAACATTACATATATAGTGTAATATACTATAACATCCCATATAAAGTGTAATATACTATAACATTACATATATAGTGTAATATACTATAACGTTACATATATAGTGTAATATACTATAGTATTACATATATAGTGTAATATACTATTACATTACATATAAAGTGTAATGCTATTCTAGTATGGCCCTTCCCCCAGGGAACTGTTCTCTTATAGTGTTGTCTGGGGAGGTATAGTGCCGTTTATTATAGTATTTTATAACTTTCCATATACATTTCAGTATATCATCACTTTACATAGTTACACTTTGTTGTTAATTACTACGTCATAAATCACAGCGTAGTTTACTATAACATTGTTTTCTTATTGTAGTTTACCCTATCATTCTATATACCGTTACCTAGTAATATAACATTCCTCGTTAACTTAACAATCCAAAAACCGTCGAGTTCACGTGCGGCCGCCTGTCTGTTAGATTGATCGCACTATTCAAAATAGACGGTGGTAATGTTTTTTCTTGTCTTGCCCTGTTCTAAACAAGGCATTTATCTCGCTTGTCAGTGATGTGATTACCAGAGTACAGCACAACCAATCACAACACGTTCTATATGTTAATCCCAAGTATACACAGTTCGCTCATCATTCGCCAATGAACTTTTGAAATTAAAGTGTTTTTCTTTTTTAAATCCTTTCCGTTTAAATTCATTTTCCCCTCCTATTAGACGGTGATATATACGATGTTTGCACCTGATATATTTCTACATTATGGTAGCAGTCATCTTATCTTGAACAAAATGGAAAGACGCTTTGAAAGTTTGGCTATCAATCAGTCCGCACTGTCGTCTACAGCCGAAGTGTCAATGTTTGAAATAAGACACATGTCTGTATACATCATCCCAGGGACAGTTACATATCGGTGACAAAGCGTCGGACACTTGTTTACTTCCAATGATACAACTCAGAAGGCAAACAGACCAATCAAGAACTTAAGATGAATGAACACCGACTTTGCGCTCTACGCATCACTCCGACGAATAAAACTACAAGAGAATACTGAAGCGTCAACAAAATAATGTTAAGAACTAAAAATCGATAAAAACCAGGGCAAAATGAACAAATGAAAGGTTTACATGGTGACCCTTGAAACAGAACAAGGAGAATAAGACCAGGTGTTCCGGAAGGGAACGCGTCTTCTTCTTCTTGGCAAAGTCAAAGTAATGTCATGTCGTCCTCATAGTAGCGACAGTAAAAACAAACTGCGCATGAATGAGCTTAAAAAGTATTAATAAAGCCGGCCCAACGAAACTAGAGTTATGGCCTAAATTGCGTCAGACAAGCAAATACCTGTATGACCTTCTTTAATTCCGAGACGTAAAATAAACCTACGTTAATCTTAAAGTTTACTCCATATGTATCACACTGACAAGAGGGAGGAGGAGAAGGATGCAGGGCGAATAAGGCGAGAGTTGAGAAATAGGAGCAGGGGGGACATATCTTTAGAAGATTTTCTTCATGTTGAATAAATACAAATAATTTGTTTTGCTGCACTTCCTGGTAAGGATCTAAAGGTAATGTAGTTTAACAGCTGGAGGTCATCGGGTACGAATAGATGGGGAAGTTATAACACAGGTGTGTCACATGTTAAATGTGTGTTCTGTGTTGGGGTGGCAGCAAAACAAGATACTGAATTGATTAGGTGTCTGCTATATTGGACAGTATTGGATAATCATCATTCATTAGATATCCATGACAGAGCCGGTAAGGTAGAATTTTAAACATATAGAGGCACTCTTTGTTCAAGTGTACTTCCTGTGTAAATTCCACGACGGATTTGTAATATTAATTTGATATGGGGCGTTCCTCTTCTACCCCAGTACGTTTGCCAGTGGAAAGTTGATTCAAAGCATTTGTCAGTATTGGGAAATATTCTAAAACGGTGACACTGCTTAGACATATAAATAATCATAATAGAACGACGAGACAGATGGGTTTGGTACATGGATAAGGTTTTATAGTCACCTTTATTCAACTGATTCTCACAGTAAGAGGCAATTACATATAAGGGGATGAAAGTGCAAATTAGACAGTATAGCAGACATCTATACAAAGACATATAGGCCACAGTTAATCTAATAAAGTGTAAGTAAGCTAGGAACAAGGTTATAATGAAGCAGCTTACAAAGGATGAGAACGAGATGATATCACCATGGCATTGGGTACAGTGTGTTTATATCGATATCTCAGTGACGTGTGTTAACGGACTTACAACGGTGACAGATGTCTGATTATCACAACAGGTAGCAAGTGTATAAATATCACCTAAATAAGTAACTCGTGTATCAATATCACACCGGGTAGTTAGTGTATAAATATCACCTAAATAAGTAACTCGTGTATCAATATCATACCGGGTAATTAGTGTATTAATCTAACCACATTTGATAGTTGACTTATAAATCAAACCAATATCGGTAGTTAGTGTTAAAGTCTAACCACAATAGGTAATCCGTATTTAAATCTAACCATTTAAGATGGTTAACCTAGGTAGTTAATGTTAATACTAACCATCATAGGTAGTTAGAGTTATAATCTAACTACTAAAGGTAGTTAAAGTTAAAATCTAATCACTAAAGGTAGTTAGTGTTTAAATCTAACCACTAGCTAGCTACCTTACCACTATAGCTGGGAGGTAATTAATGTCTGGATCTAACCACTAGCTAGCTACCTTACCACTATAGCTGGGAGGTAATTAATGTCTGGATCTAACCACTAGCTAGCTACCTTACCACTAGCTGGGAGGTAGTTGATGTCTGGATCTAACCACTGTAGGTAGCTAGCATAACTCTGTACATTTAAGAAATAAAGATAAAAGATAGTTTTGTTTGTGCTTACAACAAAGATAAAACAACATTCATATTTCCACCAAATTGGCAATTGTTGCTGTGGTGCCTGACAAAATCCTTTCCCCTTTTTTCATTATATTAACCAGTTTACTTGATCAGTTAGCTTTAGGAAAGATGATAAATTAAAACTAGCAGGTAAGCTTTGATACTAACTACATTTATATCATCCTACAAAATGGCGTCGACGTAGTGATCCATCAGTGTTTCCTGTCCCACAAGTGGCACCGCGAATATTCTCCATTAAACCCGTCAAGAAGGTCATGATGTGAAAGGTTGTAAGTCAAAGACCATACACATTGAACAATCATATTGGTCATTAACGTATGAAATAAACGTTTAAAACAAACATTTAACTTTCTCGAGTCTACAGGTCCCAACCAATATTTCAGTCCGTCATTTAAGCATTGTCAGAAATATCCTATAATGATGGAAATGTCTGTTTTGGATCAAACACACTTTCGTGCAGTATTTATTTTTATGTTGGCACTGTGAAATATTAAATGTCTGTTACTACGAAGAATCTTCCGAAAAGCGATTGCCTGGCTAATGATTTCTGTTTCTACCTAATTAAAGATGTAAGTGTAATAAACATCAAACGGTGTATAATAATGACTTTTCTATTAAAACAACTACTCACACTTTCCGAATCCATGCGCCATTCCAACACATAAGAAGAGGGTAACGAGAGCCAGATTCCCCATGGTGACCACAGTCGGCCGTAGGTACTCTCCACAATATGAGGCCTGAGTTGTAGGTAGGTTTAGACAGAAACGTCCGTCAGTGTAAGGTATCGGCCGTAGGTTTAGACAGAAACGTCCGTCAGTGTAACATACCTGTAATATACCAGTGACATTTAAATGCCTCACACGCTAACCATCAAGTCAGGGGAGCCACGTGTTCCCAGTACACCATGGCTGAGGCCCCGCCCACTACAGAGGCTTAAGTTGATACAACTACACCCCACATCCAGACGTCTGAAGGCTCTGTACCCGAACTGTATGGCAAGCCGACATTACATGTAATTACTGAAGAGAGGTTGCAAAATACTCATTAGAAATACGGAATAAGGAAGCATCCATTAAAAACATTTGTATACCGATGCGGGGAGCCAAACAAAGTAAATATCTCTCCTACACCATATGGTCATTAATTCCAATTAGGACTTATTAGTAGTGTTAGAGGTCGAATCGTTGAGAATCCATGTCTTGTCTTAACATTTAACATACAAAGACGTTTTTTAATATATCTGTAAAACAAAAATAGCCAAAGAATACCAAAGTATTAACAACACCGTCATTAAAACTCAAAATCGATAAAATTAGGACAAAATATAAATAAAAAAAGCCAGTGAAATAGGATAAGGAGTATAATGACCAAGTGTTCTAAAAGAATAAGACTCTTCCTCTTTATCAATCCAAACTGTTGTAAATCTAGGTCAAATCAAAGCAATTAGCCGTCCTGAAACGAGAAGCTTCGTAGTTTCAACGAAACAACTCATTGTAATAAGTAAAATTATTCCCAAATGAAATCATAATGTTGACCATAGATATTGCCAATAGTTTTCATCAACCTGTGTCCCTCAAAACCCGTGTTGTAAGTTTGTCCGTCAGCAGTTGACATACCCTACAAATCATCGTAGATTTTGGGAGCAAGGGCAATATTAACAAAAAATAGAGACTTGAAACCAGGCTCGTTCTAATAAACGGTATATCATTATCCAAACTTCCATAGGCTTTGGCTAATTATAGTATTATCCACGTGCTTGTAGTGTGTGGAAAAAAGCACCTTTAATAAATGTTTACACATCTCTGTGCTCTAATACACTTGGAGTCTCCTACAAGTTTGTAGGCTGGGGCTAGTACATCTTACATCATTTTCGACAAGTATTTCACTGGGGATATCCAACGTCTTCTTGCAGTTTTGTGTGTCTTCGTGTAGTATCGTAACTGTTCTGTGTGATTCATCATGGGGTTAGTTCACATCTCCTTCCTCATATCATGTGTTGTCAGCAGGGTTGACATTCTTTTCAGAAAATCGTTAGCACATGTCCGCAGGCTTAACACTGGGATTTTATTTATGAATATGATCATTTTACGGTAATGACGCGTTGCTGTTTGTGAAGCTTAACCTCGCCCCTAAACATCATGTATCGACCCTCAATACCGGAATTAGTGTTGTACTCTACAGCTGTTCAGGGAACTCTACAGCCTTTTTATTTACACTTCACACTAACGCCCGTGTCGAGCCGACACGACAACATCAATGTGGCTCAATACATCGTAAATGACATCACTCACACTATGATATAGATGTATTACGCCATTACACTCGAAAAGTCACATGTATATATATCATAGCGTTAACACACAAAAAAAGACAAAATATACCAGTTCCAAAAAAATAATGATAAAATATCCTACAGCCCTAATACAAAACGACAAAATAAACCATAGCGTCAATACACAAGGACAAAATATATCGCAGCCCCAAAACATGATGACAAAATAAACCATAGCACCAAAAACACAATGAAAAAATATCCTACAGCCCCAATACAAAACGACAAAATAAACCAGAGCACCAAAAATACAATGATAAAATATCCTACAGCCCCAATACAAAACGACAAAATATACCACAGCCCCAATACAAAACGACAAAATAAACCAGAGCATCAAAAATACAATGATAAAATATCCTACAGCCCCGNCCAGTTCCAAAAAAATAATGATAAAATATCCTACAGCCCTAATACATGTCCGATGATTTCGCATCAATCATCTTTCGATCGCAGAAGTCGTGATGCCAAGGAACAGCCCTAACACAATCCGTGTTAAATGATAAGAATAACTGTGACCGTACAGGTGTCAGTAGGATGCTGTGACCGTACAGGTACCAGTAGGATGCTGTGACCGTACAGGTCCCAGTAGGATGCTGTGACCGTACATGTACCAGTATGATGATGTGACCGTACAGGTACCAGTAGGATGCTGTGACCGTACAGGTACCAGTAGGATGCTGTGACTGTACAGGTACCAGTAGGATGCTGTGATCGTACAGGTACCAGTATGATGCTGTGATCGTACAGGTACCAGTATGATGCTGTGATCGTACAGGTACCAGTAGGATGCTGTGACCGAACAGGTGCCAGTATGATGCTGTGACCGTACAGGTTCCAGTATGATGCTGTGACCGTACAGGTTCCAGTATGATGATGTGACCGTACAGGTGCCAGTAGGATGCTGTGACCGTACAGGGACCAGTAGGATGCTGTGACTGTACAGGTACCAGGAGGATGCTGTGATCGTACAGGTACCAGTAGGATGCTGTGACCGTACAGGTGCCAGTAGAATGCTGTGACCGTACAGGTGTCAGAATGATGCTGTGACCGTAAGGTGCCAGTAGGATGCTGTGACCGTTCAGGTGTCAGTAGGATGCTGTGACCGTTCAGGTGTCAGTATGATGCTGTGACCGTACAGGTGCCAGTAGGATGCTGTGACCGTACAGGTACCAGTAGGATGATGTGACCGTACAGGTACCAGTAGGATGCTGTGACCGAACAGGTGCCAGTATGATGCTGTGACCGTACAGGTGCCAGTATGATGCTGTGACCGTACATGTACCAGTAGGATGCTGTGACCGTACAGGTGTCAAAATGATGCTGTGACCGTACAGGTACCAGTAAGATGATGTGACCGTACAGGTACCAGTATGATGTATGACCGTACAGGTACCAGTAGGATGCTGTGACCGTACAGGTGCCAGTAGGATACTTTGAACGTACAGGTGTCAGTATGATGCTGTGACCGGACATGTACCAGTAGGATGCTGTTACCGTACAGGTGTCAAAATGATGCTGTGACCGTCCAGTTACCAGTATATGCTGTGACTGTACAGGTACCAGTATGATGCATGACCGTACAGGTACCAGTGGTATACTTTGACCGTACAGGTGCTAGTATGATGCTGTGACCGTCCAGGTGCCAGTATGATGCTGGGACCGTACAGGTACCAGTATGTTGTGTGACCGTACAGGTGCCAGTAGGATACTGTGACCGTACAGGTGTCAAAAAGATGCTGTGACCGTACAGGGGTGAGAATGATGCTGTGACCGTCAGGTACAAGTAGGATGCTGTGACCGTACGGGTGCCAGTATGATGCTGTGCCCGTACAGGTACCAGTATGTTGTGTGACCGTACAGGTGCCAGCAGGATACTTTGACCGAACAGGTGTCAGTATGATGCTGTGACCGGACATGTACCAGTAGGATGCTGCGACCGTACAGGTGTCAAAAAGATGCTGTGACCGTACATGTACCAGTAGGATGCTGCGACCGTACATGTACCAGTATGATGATGTGCCCGTACAGGTACCAGTACATGCTGTGACCGTACAGGTCCCCGTATGATGCTGTGACCGTACGGGTGCCAGTATGATGCTGTGGCCGTACAGGTAGCAGTAGGATACTATGACCGTACAGGTGTCAAAAAGATGCTGTGACCGTACATGAACCAGTATGATGATGTGACCGTACAGGGACCAGTAGGATGCTGTGACTGTACAGGTACCAGTATGATGATGTGCCCGTACAGGTACCAGTGGGATACTTTGACCGTACAGGTCCCAGTAGGATGCTGCGACCGTACATGTACCAGTAGGATGCTGTTACCGTACAGGTGTCAAAATGGTGCTGTGACCGTACAGGTACTAGTAGGATGCTGTGACCGTACAGCTACCAGTAGGATGCTGTGAGCGTACAGGTACCAGTAGGATGCTGTGACCGTACAGGTGTCAGAATGATGCTGTGACCGTACAGGTACAAGTAGGATGCTGTGACCGTACAGGTACCAGTATATATATGATGCTGTGACCGTACAGGTACCAGTATGATGATGTGACCGTACAGGTACCAGTAGGATGCTGTGACCGTACAGGTACCCAGTAGGATGCTGTGACTGTACAGGTACCAGTAGGATGCTGTGATCGTACAGGTACCAGTATGATGCTGTGACCGTACAGGGACCAGTATGATGATGTGACCGTACAGGTACCAGTAGGATGCTGTGACCGTACAGGTACCCAGTAGGATGCTGTGACTGTACAGGTACCAGTAGGATGCTGTGATCGTACAGGTACCAGTATGATGCTGTGACCGTACAGGTGCCAGTAGGATACTTTGACCGTACAGGTACCAGTATGATGCTGTGACCGTACAGGGACCAGTATGATGATGTGACCGTACAGGTACCAGTGGGATGCTGTGACCGTACAGGTGCCAGTATGGTGCTGTGACCGTACAGGTACCAGTAGGATGCTGTGACCGTACAGGGGTCAGAATGATGCTGTGACCGTACAGGTACAAGTAGGATGCTGTGAACGTACAGGTACCAGTATATATATGATGCTGTGACCGTACAGGTACCAGTAGGATACTTTGACCGTACAGGTGTCAGTATGATGCTGTGACCGTACAGGTGCCAGTAGGATACTTTGACCGAACAGGTGTCAGTATGATGCTGTGACCGTACAGGTGCCAGTAGGATACTTTGACCGTACAGGTACCAGTATGATGCTGTGACCGTACAGGGACCAGTATGATGATGTGACCGTACAGGTACCAGTATGATGCTGTGACCGTACAGGTGTCAGACTGATGTTGATCATCGATTGCTGATTAGTGAACGGCAGGTTAACTAAAGATGGTCCATCAGATATGACGGGTCTCTCGTGTTGGTTAAGGAACGAGTCTCCTATAAGGTGTAGAAAGTTGGTGGCTAGATAGTTTCTTCATTCTCCTGTTTAAATCTCGTTTTATTACGATGTGGGATGGGTTTGCGGTCATCACTTC